CACGCAGAAAGATCCCGGTGTCCCCACGTGGATGCGAATCGGCGACCTTCTTGCTGCGAGGCAACAGTGCTACCAACTGCACCACCTTACAGCAGATCTTGTACTTATGAGTGTTTCCGTTTTAGCTACTTTACTTTCATAATATACCTGAATTCTTCTTCCACCACTGTTGATGTTCATTGTCAAAATTTCTGCCAAGCATTAATGTTCTTCAAACATGAGGAACACATCTTTACAATGCAAAGGTCANAGAGGGAGCTCAGGGTTAATTCATCAGTCAAGCTGAGACTACACAGGCCAGACGCCTACCTTTCCTTAGAGACAGACCCGTCCATCTGTTTAGTGCCCTTCATCCTTGAGATTGAGACCATCCATAAGTGGAAGCTGTCAGCTTTAACTCACAGGTTGAACAGCTGAGATTTCCCGGGAGTTAAAGGTCGCACGCTCACCTTCGCCTCCTGACCGAGCTAAAGTGCAGGTATGAGAGGCCAGTCCTGTCCATGTGATGCTTTTATGGTAACAAGTCGTGTAGTGCAGGTTAGTGCAATTACTTTAGACCGGTGTAAAGAAAAACAAAACAAAGACAGATCAAACAGGGAGAAGGAGAAAAGAGCGAATAAACTGGCTCTATGGGAATGCGACAAGCACATAATTTAAAGTGATTATTATTCCCTTTGAATTTTATTTAACATCCAAAGAACTCTATAATCCAATATCAGAGCTGCCATGTCTGATTTACTGTCTGTTGGGACATTTTTCAGCAAATCCAATCCAACAGAAGGCCACTTACGGCTGATATTCAGATGTTTAAAAGCAAAAAAATAAATAAATCAACAAATAGATTTTTTAAATTATTTTTTTTTAAATCAATTTGACATGAGATATGAAATATTTGGTTGTACTTTGTGCACAGGACTTGTTTTGCCTGGTGGCTGTGCTTCTAATGGTTGTAAACTGTCTGTCACCTTTAGTTTGCTTGGATAATAGTCTGAATGACCCTGGAGCGGAAGGTCACACGCCTCATTTCACCACCTGATAGTGCATGAAAATAAGAGTCTGCGCTCTGATCACAATACCAATGAAGGGATAAGGTTAGTTTTACATAATTACTTCAGGACTTCCTAAACTAATCACGGCAACCAAATATGAGACTGAAGTGGAAAACAACAAAGATATGAAGTAAGTGTTTATGTTAATATTTGGTATTGGCTGCAGGAGGATCTATGGCATGTATCCAAAGACATGCAGAGGAATTCAGATCACATTTTGTAGTCATTATTTGTATTGAGTGCATACAGTGCAAGTGTCCAAACCACAGACATTAAGGAAACTTCAAAAAATATACAAGAAAATGAAACAAACTCTGTGTAGTTCATAAAAGCATATACTGAGCAGTAAATCATAAAAAATGACATCATCTTAACTTTACCTATATGACATAAAGTCTTTGATCTACCTGCATCTAGAGGAAGGAGACCTTTGACTTCATTTTTTTACAAGAGGCTCTTTGCTATAACATTTAGGTTTTTAGAGGCTTGTACACTCCAAACACAAACACCCATACCTGCGTTTACTTGCAATTAGCCAGTCAGCCAGTCAGTCATGCAGAAGCACTACAATGTATACAGGCATGCAGATACAGGTCAGGAACTTCATTTACTGTTCACATCATTCATCAGAACAGAAAAAACATGACCTCAGAAAACTCTGATCGTGGAATAACTGCTTGTGGCAGACCGCTTGAAGTATGTCTGAAACTTAGTATCTCCTGGCATCTAGAGTTTAACTGAGAATTACAATCGTCATTTCCATGAATCGGTCCAGTTTACATCTATGTCTATCCAGACCTGACCTTTTGTGCCTTCGCTTTAAAGTTCTGATTTCTCATCAGACATTTATGTACAATTTGGTCATAATTGGCATCTGAATTCTGTATTTATGGCCAAAAATGTGTTTTTGCACTAAAACAGATTATTGATCATTTGGAAGACCAATAAGTGATATTTGGAGCTGAAATTCATTTACATCAAAAATGAAAGTCTTCCTTTCAAAGTTTAGTTGGCTGTATCTGAGTCAGAGTTATTGGAATATACACATAGTCTTTTTTAAAAAACAGATAATCAGAAAAATGCTGAATATTGAATCCAACAATCAGAAAGGTCAATAATCATTTGTTTAGCAGCTCAGGTGGGTGTTGCTGGTGTAACAG